CTCCCCCTCCCCTTTCACTCGCTGCTGGGTCACAACAGCCTTTTCCCTGCCCTGTCCAGCCCCTCCCTATGGACAAGCACCCCTCACCCTGACCCACGGGGGAGCAGGGTGCAGGGACAGCGCAGAGCCAGAGGGGCATGGGGAACAGGGGGAGCAGGGTTCACCATGGGGAATGGGAGGTACAGAGCCAGAGGAGCACGGGGGAAGCAGGGGAACTGAGATGCTGGGGTGCGCAAAGCCAGAGGGGTGCAGGGAACAGTGTGGGGGGTACAGGGGTGGAGTGCAGAATGGGAGGCACAGAGCCAGAGGGATGCAGGGATGGGGGGAGCAAGGTTCAGGGGAAGCATGGGGAATGGGATGTGGGGAACGGGAGGGGCAGAGGGATCAGGGTCCAGGAGCAGTGCAGGGAATGGGGGGCACAGACCCAGAGGGGCTCAGGGAAAAGGGGCTGTGGAGTGCAGAGGGGGCACAGAGCCAGAGGGGCACGGGGTGCAGGGGCGGCGCAGGGAATGGTGGCACAGAGCCAGAGAGTCGCAGGGAACAGGGAGAGCAAGGGGACCGGGGAGCAGGGCGCAGGGGTGGCAGAGGGAACAGGCGGCATGGAGCCAGAGGGGCACGGGGCAGAGTGGGCGCAGCCAGCCGGGCGGCCGGCAGGGAGCGGTCTCTCCCCAGTGAAGGGAGCTGGGGCCGTGGCAGGACTGGAGCTGGTGGGGCTGTGCCATGCTCTGCAGCCACTCTCCCCAGTGAAGGGAGCTGGGGCCGTGGCAGGACTGGAGCTGGTGGGGCTGTGCCATGCTCTGCAGCCAGCTCCCGGGGACACGCAGCCAGAGCCAAGCTCCTGTGGCCCTTTAAAATTGCTGGGCAGGGCAGGGTGGGGCAGGGCATTGCCAGGGGTGGCTGCTTACCTGGAAATGCTGCCCCTGGAAATGTGCCGCCCCAAGCACGTGCTTGATTTGCTGGTGCCTAGAGCCGGCCCTGCTCCCTGCACAGCAAGCAGGAGGCTCCCGGGGGGGGAGGCAGCTCCAAGGCAGAGGGCAGGAGCAACAGGACAGTAGCGGGAAGGGCAACTGAAGTGACAGCACTTGGTAGCTTCCTGGCCAAACCAGTCAAGATCACCAGTCAGAGGCTCCAAGATCTGCTGGTAGATCCCCATCTACTGGTTGGTGACCACTGTTCTAAGGAAAACTAGATGGGATGGCAGGAAGTGCCTAGGGCAGCAAGCTTCAAAGGGAGTGCTCAGCTGTCTGTAAAAGTTGAGTTTACATGAATAATAGGAGTTATTGGAAAGACTATGGGTTATTTTTTTAAACAGTCTTTCATAATTAGTGCTCATGCAATATGCCAGTTGGACATACAGGGAAAATTAATTCCTCTATCCACAAAGTAAGTATGGGACAGGAAAGTGGCAATGTATGCTCCCTTTCATTACCTCACTGATGTTTCTCAATAATGACCAGTAAGAACCACGTGTAGGTGTGATAGAGCAATTCCACCTCCATGATTACTTTAATCCTTTGCATCTCTGCTGACACACATAACAAGGGTGCTAAGTAAGGTGTCAACCTGCGAGATACCAATATTTGTTTGCTAAGAAGTGGACTGAAATGCCTTTTGGCTGTTGCACAGATTTTTTTTAAAATTAATACTCTGTACATATGTCCACAGCTTTGGAGAGATGTATTTTAAATACATTGAAATGCATAAAAGGTATGTAAGCTCTCATAATACTACAAGATGCAGGGACTACTGGTCTGAATTAAAATCAGTAACCTAGCCATGAAAGGACTGGGAAAACTAGATTTTATGGACTACTGTTACAGTGATGGTTGGACTTAAATAGCCAACTGACATTTTGATTCAGTTCTAATTCTTCTGTCCTGTCACAACTCTGATGTTTCTCAAACCTCTCCTCTTGGGAGAACAGCCATTTCAAACTCTCTCTCCCTCTCTGAAACTGAATTTGTCCCTCCTACTCCCTTCCCTGTGTCTTCCTTCCTAATCTTTCTTTGTTCAATAGCTCCACTGTTAACTCCGGTATCTTTAGTACCTCCCATGGCCATAATCTTCAACCTCTCTCTCTTCCTCTACCACTTCCAGAGTCTCATAGCTTTCCCCCCCATTACAGGCAATCCCCGGGTTACGTACAAGATAGGGACTGTAGGTTTGTTAAGTTGAATCTGTATGTAAGTCGGAACTGACATCCAGATTCAGCCGCTGCTGAAACTGACCGCCAGGTCTGACTTACATACAGATTCAACTTAAGAACCCCAAGTGTCCCCAAGTCAGCTGCTGCTGAAACTGACACAAAGCTGATTCCAGGAAGCCTGGGGCAGAGCAACTCT